TTTTTTAAAAAGAAAGTGCAATTTGTCGGAAACGAACTTGTAATGCCTGGTCATTTGATGGTCACCAATATATACACTCATTTCAGCAAAATTGAACACCCCCTTCAAGTTCCCATCTTATACAAAATATTAAAGCCCCCCCTCCCCCTCAGTAAAATAAATGTACATATGTGATCAATGGGTTGGAACAAGCAACAGAGATCAGTTCATATGTACTAGAATTGCACGTTTAAAAATTATGTTGTACAAGTGTTTCACATTTATTTCTCCGACAGTTTGATAGTATGGTGTTATTCTTTTAAATCGTTGTGCCATGCATGTGCAACATTTGTGTGATAAACATAGATTTCCCCCCAATCCAATGCACTCTTCTAATGGAAATCAAAAGTTTAGACCTGGGCGTGACATGCACTATAATTACCACTATGCTGGGATACCTTCCAATCACCAAAAACATTACCTATTTAAAACTTGTTAACTACTCAAATTGTACTCATTGGGCTGCACAACGGTCAATATCGCCATCTTTGTTCATAAGAGACACTTATCCCACTGCCCTTTGAACCAATATATAGGTTCACTTTTGTGTGGATTCACCACTTTTATTTATTACATAAATACAGATGCGTTACTATAATTAACTCCTCCCTGAATGAAATTGGTAAAAATATTTCCTAAAGCATTTTTAAGATTTGATTCTATTTTTTCAGGGTTGAGCGTGTCATTGAATTCAACAGCGACCAATATAAACAGTCTTCTCAGTGTACGAGAGAAGTTTTATTGCATGCTATGAGGGCAGGCCTGCCGGATTGATTGCATTACAAATTAAAAATGACCCGTAAGTATTACATGTGTACATCACTAAGTTATTTTAATACTACCATAACCATGGTAATGTGCATTTTATATAAATGCATTTGATACAAATGAAAAATCCTAATCTAATCTAATCTAATCTAATCTAATCTAATCTAATCTAATCTAATCTAATCTAATCTAACTCCAATCTAATCTAATCTAATGTGAAATAACTTTATTTTAGCTGAATTCATTTTCGCTGAAAAGACTTATTGGGTGTTTTGTATGGAATTTATTTTCACTGATTTCTGACAAGGTGAATGTAAAATATAGGAAAAAGAGTATATTCGCTGGATTTTATTTTCACGGGATCATAATTCCTTCAGCGAAAATAATGAAAATTAATTCCAAGCAAAAAATGAAGTATTTTTCAGTAATCTAATCAAGTTGATGATAAAAAAGTTATTTACATGGATAGTTGTTGCATGGTGTATATGAGTTGCCACTCACTTTTAGTTTCAGTCACTGGTGTGGGGTCACCAATGTACATTGATCCATACTAACAAAATCTAACTGAAAGACTGCAAATCGCAGTCAAGCAACTCTTTGTCTTTAATTTGCAGTTGTCACCCAATTAAATTACATCTGACTCTAACATATGTAAATTTCAACTCTTCCAAAGGGGATTTGGATCATATCACAATCTAAGTCCTATTTTAAGCCAATAAACTGTAGTTTGTGTTTGTGTGCTGGGAAGTACAACAGCAAATATTCTGGAGAGATTTCATAGAGGGGACAGCCAATATGCCTTTATATGAAAAATAGGAAAACTTGGTAGATTATTTACATAGATATTTTTATGACTGCTGAGTCAAAAAAACTACACTAAGTGAACAAAAAAGCATGACTTAGAGACATACCTATTCTCTAAGACCGGAAACGGAAACGGAAACGAGACAAAAACAAAAGATTTTTCAAGTTAGCTTGGGGGGAAATAACGTTGCTAAGTATTATCGTCAGGGAAAGCTATTGTTTAAGCTAGTCTGTGATTGGTTGCTGGCAATGTTTGGGGGATTTTGACCAGTTTGTGACGTAGGCTTGTCTTAGAGAATGCAAGAACTGATTTGCCAGTACTTAATTAATTGTTAAAACCTTAGCTACTCTATTGGCTGTTTATTCTATTGATTTGAATAGCTCTTAAGATAACTGTCAACCAAAGGCACTAGTGTCTTTGTGATAACAGACGTTTAAAATGTGGGCATGTTCAAAATGGCCATGATTCATACAGATTAGAAAAAAAAAAGAGTCGTAAGCAGGAAATTTCATATGAAGGTGGTATGCCAAATG